CCAGCTAGGAGCCAGCAGGTGTTTTTTCTCTGGAGCTGCTATCCTGGGAAACTTAGAGCCAATCCTGTGTGAGGTTGCTGTGCTTTGACCCTTACAGTGATATTTACCAGTTCTTACCATTTGTTTTATGTGGGTTTTGGAGAAATAGAAATTTTGATAGTCTTAAATTTTTTTTCTCTCTGACTTTAGAGATCAACCTCTGAGCTACAATCCTCTCAGCAACCACTTGCTTCCCTTTACTAATGCCCAGCAGACTCTATATTGATTAGCTATCACAGTGACCGCCAGGGCCCTGGTGCTGAGAATTCTGGACGTTTCAGAATAATGTGTAAAAGCAAAACAGTGAACATTTGTCTGTGGTCATCACACTACAAAGGACTGTCCATGCATTTCCAAAGATGGGTGAATTTTTATGAGTATGTAAATTACGCATGCCAGAAAAAAATCTGGAAAAATCTGAGATGCTTTTGAAATGCTCCTAAATTTTTATGTATGAATTAAATGCTATCCATCTATCTCTCTATCTGTTTGTTTGTCTGTCTGTCTGTCTCTCTGCTCTGTGACTTCATAAAAGGCACACCAGCCTTTGAACAGAAAGTGAATATTGGTCAACTCAGTGAAATACGTTTTCCCAGTGAAAAATATTTATATCAGTTGTTGATAAATAAGTGAAACCAGGTTGCTACATTCACTGTTCCCTATCTCCATCTCTTCTGCCCCAAGGCTCTCTGACCACAGGCTCTATTTTATTCCTGTTCAGTGTTCAAGCCCCATCCTCTTATAGTATGGCTGTCTCTCCTCCCAGGCCTACCCATTACTAAAACTGAGCTCTTGTTTCCCTGTCCTGCTTGTTAGTCTTGATTATCTGTCCTCGGGTACCAGTCAGACAAGAATGTAGACTTCCCTGCCTCTGCTCTCTGTGCCTTGCTGTAACCAGAAGATGAAGACTTGTGATGATATCTTGGCAAAATGAGAATCCTTTTTCATGCTGGACACTGTGCAATGAATAAAGTAATCTAATCTTTATAAGACCCTGTTTGGCAGATAGGATTATTTCTTTTGTGATTTCAGAGTTTCATAGTACCGTAAGCACTTGGAACCTGCAGCTATGCTGAGAAATAAGTTGTCCCAGCATAGGAAGCCATGGCTGTGCCTGCAGCACTGGGGCCATAGGGTTCGAAAGACTAGGGGTTCATTGGTTAGGAAGTTAACCTGTTGCAAACTTCTTTATCCATCAAAAAATGGGATGCCAGTACTCATATTGAAGTGTGTCCTCCTTTAAGAAGCCATGCATGGTGGCACATGCTTGCAGAGTCAGCACCCGATGGCAAAGACAGGAGAGTTGGGAGCCTGAGGCCAGTCTTAACTACATGGCAAGTTTAAGACCAACCTGGGCTGCATGAGGCTCTGTCTGAAAAACCAATTTCCTTTCACCTTTACTTCCTTGTCTACTGCTTTCTCCCTTGTCTGAAGCTGCAGTCTCTGGTGTGCATAATGCCTAAAGCTCTCCATTCTGGTTAACGTAAACCTCATTAATCATATATTTTACTTTTATTCATAGTGAGTCCATCCACATATTCAAGTAGTCGTTCATTTAACAAGTATTTGTTAAGTACGTCTAAGTGGTAGCCATTTTTACTCTTCAGTAACCATGAAGAGGCTCAGAAGACTTTGTGCTCTTTGGGAGTGTAGATGCATAAATAGGAAAAAGAGCTGTGTGGCCGTGGGTGTGCAAAAATAGTGACCAAGAAAGCCAGAAAGTAGACACACTTGGATTCTGTCAGAGATCAAATGATTGTCGAGGAACGAAGAAACCTCCTTTTCACACAAGATACAGCTCAGAGAGATTTGATTAGTGCTTGAGTTACCCCTGAGAGCAGATGTCATTCATTCAGAATGGAGCTGTAGGAAGGGGCCCTGTGTTGAAAGCTCTAGCATTGGCAGGAACCAGCGCTGCTCCCCATACCCCCAGTTCCAAAATGCCACCAATTTCTGCATTGATCAGTGAGTTTCAGAACAAAGGTAACAAGGGCTCAGTTCTCTACAGCAGCTCTGTCCATGAACTGAGCTTGTTTCTCCTCTGTATCTCCACTCCCCGGCTGTAGATGTGAGGAGGTTCATAGAAATCTCTCCAGGTTCCTAATGAAAAACAGCAACAAAAATGAATGAGTCATAGTTTCTTCTATTCAAATACCAGGTATGCACCTTGAGAAGCCTTAACAGCATGGCTTTGGCCAAAGGATTGGTGGGGTCAAGGGATTCTTGATTACTTAGGTTTGACTGTCAGCCCTGACAGTCACATGCCATCATCTAATGTTGAACAAGACACTTAACCCCAGTAAAAGCCTCAGTTTCCTAGTGTATAAAATAGAAACAGTGACTGACCTCATTGAGTTGTGGTGAAAATTCAGTGGCTGTTCAAAGCCAGTTTGCCCAGAGTATTGCACACAATGCCCAGTGCATACAGCCAGTGACATTGTCCTGTCTTCAGAGCACTTCATGAGGAGTCATAAACAGTTTGACAAGTGAAAAAACAGCAGTAACTTCTGTTGGACAATGATCTCTTTGTAGAGGTGCAAGGGAATCAGCAGGTCTTTGTGTAGAGAGCAGATTGTTTATTTACCATCTCCTCACGTTTTCAGTTGAGGGTTTAGAACCGTGTTTGCTGTTAAACTTTGTTGATGACCTCACTCCTCTTGTCTAATACAAGGAATCCTTCCTAGGACAGAGTACTACACAGAGTAAACACAGTGCAAATGCTTTTGAATGATTTACTTGATAGTAACTCAGAATTGGTGAGTTAAACTTTTTGGTTTACTATCAGACCTGAGCTTGTGGTATTTGTTGGATTTGTTTTTTGTGGGGACTTGTGAGCATCCCATGATAATCAAAGTAAGATTCTTCTGATACCAGTCTTGGCCTTTCTGCTTTAATCAATAGACTTATTATTTGCCCTTGAACCTCTGTGGTGCTGGGGAATCACGTATATTTCTCAGATTGATTTACATGGCTATAAATAATCTGTGCTGTCTATTGCTTGTCCCATAGCATCTGTCCTGCTCATAAAACCCTAAGGCACAGCTGCCGGGTTAAACTTAGAGACCCACCTGCCTGGAATGAGCTGCTGGTGTCACGGCTGTCCTGTTCCGCTATGCATCCATAACTTAAGGACTGACAGACTCTTCAAGCTAGTTCCCATGTGACCTTACTACAGTCACCTGACATTAAGATTCTACTTCTGTTGTATATGCCAGGCTCTACATACATCACTGAATCAACCCTGAGTTAGGCCATTATGACCTTATTATGGATATGGAAATGAAAGTGATAAAGGTGATGCTTATTCTGAAATCACATAGTCCAAGAGCCATGGAGCTGAGAATTGAACTCGGGTCTCTCTTAGCTGTCACTCTCCTGGGCCATTTCCTGCCTTTAAAGAGCATCTGTTTCTGCATACCCTTGTGGTCAGGTTGACAACTTGCTGTAAAGATCCAGAAGCTCAAGAATTTTACATTTCTTACCAGCATTGTGAACATATGAAATGTAAAGTGACAAGTATGGCCAGATTACTTTCCTGTTCTCAATCCATTTAGCAGATTTATTCTTTCCATTAATTTCCATCTGTCCTTATTACCTGTTTTATACAATAAATACTTCTCACCCTTGACAGACACACTGAGTGTAGATCACCTGGAGTAGGTTCTCTCTGTAAGCAGAGTTGCAGCTAAAGATTGTGAATTAACTGGGAAAATTGCAAATCAGGTTGTCAGTGCAATAATTCATTGTCACACCCAATCAATAAACTTTGTAAATCAACTTACTTAATTCAAAAAATGATCTGTATAGATCAAGAATCCAATTAAACAATTAGCATACACTTTGCAATTAATTAATTAAAGCGTCAATCACGAAATTAAAATTCCAAATTTGAGCTGCAGAATTTAGAATTCTCCAGCCTTCTGGACTATTTAGATTATGCTTGAAGCCAGCCTGCCTAAAATGCTCGCAGGTTTGCCATTTCCTAGTCCACTTTGAGCACACTGGTGGTTTCAGCATTCACTTATTTATTCACTCACTTACAGATTGTTGAGGTCTTATATATCCCAAGCTGGCTAGCTATATGGCCAAGGATAACCTTGAACTTATGATCCTTCTGCGTCTGCCTTCCGAGTGCTGGGATTACAGAACTACACCTCCACATCTGATTTATGCAGTGCTGGGGATTAAACTCAGGACTTTATACATGCTTGATAAACACCCTCCCAACATTTTTGCCCTAATTTCATCTTGTAACACATTTTGATGTCCTTTCATTATGAACAAATTGCCTTTTTTGTTTGTTTGTTCCTCAAGGGGGAAGGTATTTGTTTATTCTGAAAGGGCAAGACTAGAATCTAGAATCTAGTTCTTGCTAGATATGATAGAGAAAGGGAAAATGTCCAGAAGTGATCAGAAAGATCAGGATAAATCAGGCTGTTGGCTTTTATTCAGCTAAGGTTCTGTGGTGTTTGGAATCAGGTCCTCCCTAAAGAGTCAGTTGTTGTTGTTGTTGTTGTTATTATTATTATTATTAGGGAAAGGAGAGCCACGCCTACCTGCGTGTGCATTAAAGTCTTTCCACCCCTTTGTTTGTGACTGTATTCTTATAGGTACTATAGCACTTACTCCAACCCCCAACCCCCATATTATGAGCTTCCTTCAAGGCTGACATTAAATTTCACTTTTCATCTCGGGGATTGAGTTCTAGGTCTTATCTCTAACAAGTGGCCGGTAAATGTTGGAAAAATGGCACAATGTGAGGACACCTGTTGTATTGCCAAGTTTGTTTGTTTGTTTGTTTGTTTGTTTGTTTGTTTTTCTTTCTTCTCGGAGAAGCAGGAGTTAGGGCTTCCCAGGGTATCCAGGGCTAAGGGTAGAGCACAACAGGGTCAGTGTTTCATACTGTCTGGTCTGTGTTCCTTCCCTATAGCACTCATTTGCCTTTATGGTTTTCCTTTCAGTGACAATGTCAGTGCCTACTGCCTGCATATTGCTGAGGATGATGGGGAGGTAGACACAGATTTCCCACCGCTGGATTCCAATGAGCCCATTCATAAGTTTGGCTTCAGTACATTGGCCCTGGTTGAAAAGTATTCCTCTCCTGGTCTGACATCCAAAGAGTCGCTCTTTGTTCGAATGTGAGTACTGCCTGTTATTTTTCTCAGTGTGTCACCCCAACATTCTAGCATTGTGCATCTGATCAAGGTTTTGCTCATCAGATGAATTATGTATATTACCTGGAACATCTGTTCACATGGTTACTTGCAGAACAGTTTGGGAATATGTGCATTGCTGTTTCATGCTTCTGTACCTAGGCTATGTGCAGCCTGTTGAGCAGTAGCAGGCTATGAGATAGATCTAGGAAGAGCATGTCTGCAGATGACCTGTGGGAGCAGTGGTGACTAAGAGCCTGGGAAGCAGCTTTTGGGTTTCTCTTTCTAGTCAAGGACACCAAACTAAATGAAAATGCATTTTGTGGCCACTTTTCTGTTGTAACTTAAGATACTTTTCTCTCCAACTGGTTCAAATTCAATTTGTTTTTTCCTCAGTTGTCTTCCTTTAGACCATGTTTAGCCTTTTCTGTGCCTTCGTCAGTCTGGTAAAGCCTAGAGAAAAATCCTTCTCAGAAAAGTGTATGTGCATACACAAAATAAAAATCATTGGAATATAAAAAGACTTTTATATTGAAAGTCAGCAGATCATTAAATTTATATGTAGTGATACATAGATTTATTAATATATTACCTAACAAGACCAAGAGGAATTCTAGCCATTGCTCTTAAAGCCTCTTGATTCAGAGCAGTAATGAGTCTAAATGCTGTTTTAGGAGTCTGCAACAGTTGTAGCAGACAGAGGTGTTAGCTAACATGTCAGTTCATGATTAGCACCAGCATGCTCATCCTGCTGTGACTTGTTGCTTCCACTTACCATCCAAGGAAAAGCCAAGTACTGCAGGTGGAGATGAAGATGTGTTTATGTCCATTTGAGTTCACAGAGCTGCTGAGTCCCGGTAGCTAAGGGCGAGCCCACACACTCAGGTTTCAGTATAACCTATTCTTTTCTAACCTAGGTGACTGCAGTCCCTCTCCTCACTATCTCCTGGGATTAATGGTGATCCCTTTGGCACCCCCTGCTGTTTGGAACCAGCAAATTCATGGTCCTAATGAATGATAGCCTTGAAGGACTTTCTCCTGTCCCTTTAAAACAGATTCCTTTGTTTGAGATTTAGGAAAACGGGATTGTGCAGCACATGATATATGAGTATTCTGGGTCTTTCTCCCCTTGAGCAAGAACAGACACCGGGTGCCAGGGTTGAGCTGAGAGCAGCCTCTCCAGTTTCCGCAATGACTGCCTTATATCTACTCTCAAGTCAGGTTTGATCTGTATAACAGCATGTTTTTCCCCACATTTTCATTTCTGGGGTATAAAAATTAACAGTTTTACAGAATACATAGAATAATTTTAAATTATACAGTTTTTAAAATAAAAGGTATCCAGTAATTCTGCCTTCCTAATGAAACTGGGGTGTCCACATATGTGGACCAATGCAATCCATGTAAAACCAAAGGCCAATGCCTTCTTCAGTTGCTTTTTCACCTTAGTTTTTAGCCTGTATCTCAAAAAAAACGTGGTGCTTACTATCTATTTATCTAGATAGGCCGACCAGAGAGCTCCCAGGGTCTGCCCGTCTTCATTTGTCCTCATCCTTCCCACCCCAGATGTGCACCATTGTGTCCAGCTTATATGTGGGTACTCATGTAGTAGGCATCTTACCTGCGGGGCCGTCTCCTCAGCCCTTTTCTGGTTTGTATAATAATTTCCATGGATAAAGCAATTATAATTTCATTGCATATATATATTATATTTGCTTAACACTGTAATAGGAATATTTTAGTGCTCTTAATTCCTGTAATCTATACTTACTTTATGCCAGAAATCTAGGCAGAGACGTCTTCTACACACACACACACACACACACACACACACACACACACACACACAAAGCTTTTCTCATGAAGATTACTACCTAATGAGAACACAGTTGGTCGAAAAATCATAAACCTGTGGAAAGCACCTGCGTATAGACATGCGCGAGGTGCACAGTGTTAGACTGCTGCCTTGTGTGGTTTGCATAAGTAACAGCAGTCTTCTGCAGCTCTGTGTCCTGTTGAAGCACTTCTTGGGGTCATTTCCTTCAAGTGTGTGTCAGAGGGTAGAAATTTCTGTCTGTGCTGAGAATTGAACTTAGGGCATCATGTATGCAAGGTGAATGCTCTTCCCCTGAATTACACTTCAGCCCAAAATTCTGACATCATTACCAAGCAGCCTTCTGCAAGATGTGCCAGGTCAGAAGGAAAGCGTCAGGAGGCTGTCTCTTTCCCCAGATGTCTGGTAACCTATTGCAGACTCCTCACTGTTGGTATATGTGTTGGGTTCAGCAGCTTCCGGTCTTCCTGTCAGGGCCATAGTCTAGGCTGTGAAACCTTTAGTTAGGAGTCCCCAGGGACATGTCTTGTTCATGTCAACAAAAGGAGGAGAGCATAGCTCTTTTTTTTTTTTTTTTTTTTTTTCTTTTCATTTTTCTCCCTTTCCTCCTCCCACCTCCGTCTTCACTAGCAGGAATGACACTGAGCTGGAGGTGATAGGAAAATAGGCTTGATAGTAAGTAGTGAATTAAGGAGCCAACTGTATAAATACTATCTTGTATATCAAAGTTGCTCTATTTTTCTTATGACCAATATGGAGGTACAAGAGCCAATACTATGCAGTGTTGTTCCCAAACCTGCACTTGACATCATGTCCCAGTGAAAGGTGAGGGTCAAGGAGGGCTAATGGTGGCCTCATCTGTCAGGTGGATTTCACTCTCTGAGGGCAGACCTTTAAGCCATTATTCAGTGTGAAAAGATCATAGAGGCATTGGAGCCAGTCTGCTGCCCAGCCTGACCTTTTCCCTTCTTTGGTGGGTTTGATTCTGGTGGATTCCATAACTTATTTACATTGTGATAAATACTATATATACAGCCCCCTAGATTGTTCTGAATTGCTATGTTTGCTACTGCTACATTTTTCTGCCTCCCTCCCCCTTACTTAGTGGTTTATGGACTAAAAAGGCCAAATAGGAGTAACTTTCACAGAACATGTACAGGTGGTAGACATTTAGGCACTGGAGAAATTCCAATTAGACACTTCTTAGGAGCAGACTTCCTCAGAGATAGGCAAAACCATAAGCTTGCCTATGGTGAAAAGAGACAGGAAAGTTAAGTTTCTATGCCCTCAGCACCCATTGGATGACTTTGTGGAGAAGATACAGATGAATCTTTAGGTCTGTGGGCTCCCAGGGGTACCAGTAGCAAGCACTGTGTCCTATTTTGCTTAGCCTTCATAAATCTGTCCTGCACTTTGAGTATCAGAAGCCCCAAGTTGCCTTCTGACCTTAGAGGCTCTCAACCCCATACCTCACAAAGACTCCAGAAACCTACCCTTGCCTCCCAGTGAGGAAGCACAGGCTTTGAACCTTGGCAAACCTGGGTTCAAGTCTCACTAGCAACTTGCTATGTGACTTTGGTACCTTTGTTTATCTTAATTTCTCTCCTGTCAAATCTGGACAACAGAAATATTCTTAAGCATAAGTAATAAAGTCTCATAAACTTAGGCTCATTGTTAAACTTTAAAATTTCTCCAAATTGATTTTTAATATAGTGCTACTTCAATGCATAAAAATATAAAACTTTGGCTATAAAATCCTATAATGTAGCTATAAATTTCTCGTTTTTACACAACTTAAAACATGACATTAAATAAAGTATAAATTTAGCAATCTTGATACCAGTGTTTTGCTAAAAATAGATTGATGTTAGGTTTAGCGAGAGTTAAATGTTTTACTTGTCAATTTGAGTTTTGATTTTCACTTTCATGGAAATGGGATTGCCATATTATTTTCCTTTTATTAAAGAATGAATGGTAGTTTTAATTACCAGCACATTATTTTAATTGATTTATATGTATTCTCAAAATGCAAACCTTCTCTACTAGAAAATTTTTATTTACATTTTTCCCATCATACTTGTTGCTAGCATAACTAATTTCTGTTATTATGCTCAGGACTTTTCTAGTTACAAAGCTGAAAGACCTATACCCAGAACAGAACCCTCTCCTCCTCCTCCCCCTTCCTTCCTCCTCCCTCCTCATTTTCCTCCCATCCCCAGTAGGCCCGGATGGGTTGCTTTCTGCTTTTGCCGATTGATCTACACAAAGATAGACCCTGCTTCTGAGCGATACCTGGGCACACATTATTCTGACACCAAGAGCACACATTTTTCAGGGATCAGCCAGCTCCAGTAAAGCACCTGTGTGCTCTGAGTTCTCAACCATCATTCTCTTTAGCAAACTCTGCATCTGCTTGCAGTGATGAATTTGACCTTTACCAATCCATTAGTGTTATTAAATAGCTGCTGGAATGTGCAGCCCCAAATCTCATCAGCTTATCCTAAATGCTGGCATACCTCCTGTCAAAGGCCACTGTGTCACAGGGCTTCTGTAGCAACACTCCATTACAGTGTGAAGGTTGCCATAAGGCAATATAGAGGTGCAGTGGGCCTGGCTGGGGTTTGTCAACCTCCGGTTCTTGCTAACAGGCTCATTTTCTTTCACTTCTGTTCAGTGAGGAAGGGCCAGCTGAGTGGAGTGAGAGGACCATGGAACCAGAATTGGTAATGGTCTAAGCATATTCGTATTTATAGTTTGTAAAGTAACATTAGTAAATGTACATTTACATTAATTTTTCTTTTAGTTTAATCATGTAGGTTTTCATATACATGTATATGATTTTACATGTATATAAGATTTTCATTGGGCTAAAATAAAATGCTTAAGTTTTGAAACTCAGCCTATAAATTTAATAGTTGCCTCCTAGAAGGGGGCTATGAACCTCAGAAAATCTACTATGCAGATTAATGTTAAGGCGAAAGGAGATTTAATTTTAATTTCTTTTATTTTATCTTGTAAAGATTATCAATTATTAGATTTTATAATTATTTACATTCTATTTTTGTCATTTTCTGCCCTCATCAGACAGAAGTGAAAAGAAATAAACCTACTGCAGTAAGCCAGAGATTGACAGTAGTAAAATAGAGTTTGT